ACGTATATATATATATATATATATATATATATACATCAACCTAATTCAACAAATAAGGTTAACCGGCGATAAGTTTAAGATAAGAAAATAGAAACAGAGGTACGTTTTTCATTTTTCTTTATTATATTTTTTATTTATTACTATCATATAATTATTATTATCGAAAATAAAATTTTATTCGAAAGAATCAAAAATTTTTAAATTAATTATGAAATAACATAATAGCCGGATAATAGTTGGAAATAATTTTCATGAAATTTTCTTTTTACATAGCTTAGATATTCTTTTCTTTTTTAACGTTTTCGTATCAAAAAATAAACCAGACATTATAATAATTTCTTTCTTAATTTCCCGACATCATGACATTATTGTATAATAATATTGAATGATAATATGTTATATTTTTGTAAGTGTGAATATTCAAATGAATACAAAATGTACAAATTCACTTACAAAATGTAATGGTATATATAATGTACTATTTTGCATTTGGTAGATAACGATCGAATCTAAGGATTAATCCTAAGAAACCGTTAAATTTTTTTTTTTCAAATGTGAAATACCATTTTTTTTTCATTTGATTATGAAGGAAAGTTTTTTTTATAAAATATATGCCAAACAATAGAGTAGAATTTAAATTTGAGAAATAATGAAGCAATTATGCTATTTTTTCTTCTATAAGTATCTAATAAGAAAGGAAAGTTAGTTTATAATCGATCTAATTGATAATATAAATATATTTTTAAATAATTCCATTTAAAAGTCGATTAGTATCGATAACGTAATTTGGATTTATTATATGACGCAATTTATGAATGTATAAGTAATTATGTATGTTCTATTGCGATTACAATACTGCGATATAAATATTGGCTTGAGAATTCATTTATACAGAGATATTCAAATTTTTATTATTATATGGTAAATAATAAAAATCTTAGTAATATTTTATCATTCTATTATATTTATTTGTTTAAAAATTTATTGATGTGTTATTTACTATTGAAATGCAGATTCTCACTTTCTTAATGATAGAGATGATTTATTTCATATAACTTCTTAACATTTTTCTTAATTTATATAAAGAAGCTGTATTTATTTAATTTTGATAATATTGCAACTTGTAACAAAAAATATTTTAAATAAAAATTGAATAATATAAGAGAGCATATTATTTATGATATTATTAATTTTTTCGTGAATAATATATAATATATTATAAAAATATAACATATATATATATATATATATATAGTAAGTATATATAGTAAAGGTTACATGAAAATTAATTTTGTTCTTTTAAATAGATATATTATAAATAGGTATTTAATATATTAATCGATACAGTTCAATATTCTTTCATAAAATAATAATTAATAAAAATATTAAAAATATTAATTTATGTATATCTAAAATTTATTAAAATTATTTTAGAAAATATTTTCTTGTGTTGCATGCAAGACAAGAAAAGCATAAACAGATAAATATCATTTTATTTTTCTTATTTTTCATGTGATAAATTTTCAAATTGAAATATTTTCTAAAATAATTTTTAGATATACGTGGGTTAATATTTTTTTTATAGAAAAGTATTTTATATAAATCTTTTATAGAAGAAATAATAAAAATATATAATTCCATTAAAAATAGAAATATATAATTTTAAAAAATTAATTTTTATATAATCTTTATGATTTAAAAAAAAATTAATACTAGAACATGCCTTTTTTGATTCCATTTAATTTTTTCTATAATAATTTTACTAAGTACAAATAATAATAGTGAAAAAATCGAAATATCAAAATAGAGACAGATGAGACATTATATATATATGTATATATTTATTAGATAAAATTTTATGATTTTTAAATAAATTACTTATTTTCAATATAATACTTAATTCTTGACTTTGGCATACGTAAACATGATTTGATTCGTTATTAATTTCCCCATAAAAAATATTAATATAGATTTTATTGATATGTACATCATATAATATGTAATGTTATATCATAGCGTATAATATGTAATGTTATACCATATAATATACATATATTCAGTAACTTTATTATATAATATATTTATGGATTCTATTAATTTAAATACTACAAAAAAAAAGATAAAAAATTATAAATTGTACAATTATAATCTAAATAGAAATGTAAAGAAATGATTCATCTCAAAATTTGCTCAAGATCATTTGTTCATTTGGTTTTAAAATTTAAAATAAAATTTACAATTTTATAATTTCTTAAGTGATTTCGACAAGATATATCATTGCTTTTAGGCCAAATAGTATTTCAATGTCACATCTATTAAACTAGCTGTTCATATACATATATTTCTTTAACTTTCGTTGTTGACAATATTATTGTGGAAAAATCTTATTGAATTTCTGTCTCGATTTAGCGGAACGTTATAATTTATCTGTACAACCACTTTAAAAGTGAATTTAATAATCTAAATAATAAATATATAATATATGCAAAATAATAATAATGTATGAAATTTTATATAAAAATAGGTAGTTTTAGATAAATGTTCATTTTATAATCAAGTTATAACTGCACTTTTTGTAACAATTAATTAATTTGTGGTATTATTTAATCGTTTGTAATTTCATACGTGATCAGATGTTAGGATGTAATCGGCCACCGGAAACGTCAATTCGATTAGGGTCGATTAGTGGCACCGCTTCGATCTAGCTTCTCTATACTTAAGCCTTCGACGCAGTGGAAAATACTTTTGCGCGTCAAAAAATCAGACGACGCATGATGGATTACAATGAAATGATATAAACTTACATCAGTCAATGACTATGTGATATACGTATATGCGAAATTTATAATTTATTTCATTAATTAATATATTTATTAATTATTAATTAAAATAAGCCATTTGTTACAAGATTACTACAAGAATTAAGATAAATTAATGATTATTTGATTATAATAAAAAATTGGTAATTTGAATATGTTTTATAATATTAAAATAAATCATTATATTTGAGAGTTTAGATGTATATAATGTATAATAATTTATATAGGATGAATCACATAAATTTATAAATGATTTTCTCTGAAATTACTGCAGGTAATTGACATAATTCTTTCTTTTTTTTAATATCAACGATTAAGATAAATCAATAATTTAGAGTGTAACAAATTTTTGGAGAAGCGTTCCAATGATATAAATTTTTTTTTTATATAAAAAATGTTCCAAATAAATATTATTTCGATGAATGATATTTAAATAAAAAAAATATTAATATATTGTTCCTAAAAAAAAAAGGAAGAAAAGAATATTTTAAACCTCAAATCACATCATTTTAAAACTTTGTGATATTCTAAATTATTGATTGTTGTCAATCACTTATTTGAAAAAAAAAAAATATCAATATCTGTTATAGTTTCAGAAAAAACATGTTTTATGTGATTTATCATATATAAAATATTTATATAGACTGCAATGATTAATATATGTATTTATAATACATCTATATATACTTACACAGATAGAGCATATTTTTAAATATAGTAAAAAATTTGCCTACAATTTTTAACTAAATTAATTTTCACAAAGATGTGATATATATATATATATATATATATGATATACATAAACGATTCTATGTAAGATTTTATCATGTCGAATCAATGATAATATGCTATACATACTAGTATATCATTTATTTCATCCAATAATGATAACACAAAAATTATGATTTTAAAGAAAGCAAATTTGAATATTTTCAATTTCTATAAAAATGCATAAAAATACTATATTATAATTTTAAATTAAAAGCTTAATATTTAAAAACATATAATAATTTTATTTTGATATTAAAA